TCTCTAATTTTATTCTCTTTTTTTGTAACTTGGGCAATTTGGATGCTATTTCCCCTTTTATATAGCTTTTGGAAAGTTTAGGAGGAAAGAAACTCAATGATACTAGTATGAGTCAAATTCAGACTAAATAAGTACAAAAATAATTTCAAGGATGAAAATTGGAAAATGAAAAAAATTCAGGGGCTACTTAAATGTTATTTCTATTACTTTTTCTTAGTTAAATTATCAATTAAAAATATCAACGCGTCACTCCTTTCTTTTCCAATCTTACTCCATCGTCTCTGTATTGAATTATTATTATTATTATTCATTATTATAAATAAAGCAATATAAAATAGAAAACGTAATCATGTAAAGAAAAAAAAAAATTTGTCATTTAAGTCCTAATCTAATGGTTAAAATGGTGGTTTTGGGTTTCACGTTCTAGGTTTTATGCTGATTGAACTATTATTATTTAGCTTTGTTTGGTTTAGCTTTTAAAGAGTATTTACTTCCTAGTTTGTACTTTATCTATTTTAAAAATAATTTATAATATATTTGAGTTAAAGAAAAAAGAAGAAAATGAAAGGAAAAGGGTTTTAATTAATCATATTATAATATTTAAAAATATTATAATTTAATTAGTTAAAAAAAATTTTCTTCTCCCCTTCTCTCATTTTTTTCAATCGAAACATAAAGTTAAAGTTTAGAATAATTATGTGTTAATTTGTAAAATCATTAAAAACAAGAATTTTAGGTATAACAATAAAATTAAAATAAAAAATAACAATTAGTAATTTATACTAAATTTAAAATTACAAAAAAAAAATTATGTACTAGTTATTTTGAATCAAAAGATATATATCAATGTCAAATAATTGCTAATATTTGTGTACACATAAAACTTTATTTAATTTTAAAAGAATTTACAAAATAAACTATACATTAAAAATAAAATTCACCAAATGAGTTTATTAAAATATTTTTAATATTATTTTATTTAAAATATTTAAATAAATTTATATAATAAATTATGAGAGTCTAAAAAATTAAAAATTCTCTCTTTTCAGATCGTACATCACAATCATTTATTAAATAGGTCTCATAAATAATATAGGATTCGGATGATTGTAATAAACATCAAAGCGCAAGGAGGTCTTAATTTTTTTTTTTATTTTTGATAAATTATATTTTTAATATATACTCTGAATAGTGGAATATGACTACAACTATTATATATTAAGTATCAACAATTGTATTTCTTACTGCTAAACCAAATACTAGGATCGAACATGGAAATGAAATTGATCTATTAAAAAACGAAAATGATTTTTTTGACGTTGATAATGGCAGTATGCATCTACAACAGAATCATCAATATGAAAAGGCAAAACAAGACTGGTTTATTTTGGTATCTAAGCTTCTGAAAAGCCTTTCTCTCTCCTTCAAAACCATACAACAACAGAGGCAGAGGGTTTTTGTCTCTCCTCTTCCTCCATCTTCCCATCTCCCAATTGCAGTTTCCTCATTCAGGTTTGCCATCTTAATCTCTCTGCTCTTTTTTTCTTCATTCCCCTTTCTGGGTTTCCTTTTGATGTCCCATTTTGGACTATCTGTGTAATTTATTGCTGGTTAATGATTTAATATTTGTTGTATTAATTAATGGATGCTGTCTATTTATAAGTGTGCTGATGGAACTGGGTTTTTGGTTATAGGATTCGTGCTGGATCTTTGGTATTTGAGTTGGAAATTTGCTGATGGAACTGAGCCCTCCAGGTGTATACCCATTTTGTGATTCTGATCGGTATTGATGGTAGATTTGGTTATTCATGTTGGAATTTCTTTTATTGATTGTTTTATGCTTGTTTTGGTATGAATCAGATCTACAAGGATGAGCATGTGGTAGAACTCATTTTCTCTCGCCCCTGTTTGGCGGTTTTTGGAAGTGGGCTTATAACTTGAAATTTTCTGGTATTTGGGTTTGATTTGCCTAGTCGGTTTTTTAATCAGGACTGTGAATTGACAGACAGAAGAACTATTGGGGGTTTGGTTTTCATGGAATTTGGATTTTGAGTAAGGAGTTTTCCTGATAGTTTTGGTGCATGTGAGGATGCATCCGCTGTTTGCTTGGGAAATATAAAGTTGTTCTTTTTTGTTTGTGGAGGATTAGATAGTGGGAAAGAACGGAAAAAGGGATGGACTTTGTTGTGGGAACTGATGTTGTGCACTTGAAGGATGAAATTAACCCTGAGGAACCTCTGTGCATCGAAATAGAAACTGAGGAGACTGAAACTGGAACTCCTAAAAATAAAGTTCAAGGCTTTCTGCAGGAAAAAGGTGAGGGAAGTAATGTTGTATTTTCTAGAGAGGCACCTCGTATAAGTAAAGAGTCAAGAACATCTAGTGGTTGTGCTTGTGGTGGGAAAAAATTTAAATCCAGGGAGGCTGTAGCAGATTCTGAGCTTGGCATGAAGGAGAAATCCGGGCATGATAAGAAACTCAGTAGACAAGATCGGATTGAATTGGGTCGGTTGTTTCAGGGTGCTATAAGTTCCCATGATTGGGAACTTGCTGAGAGTTTAATTTTGTTGGCAGATCCACAAACTCTTAATGATGCCTTGTGCATTACACTTGATGCCATCTGGTTTTTGTGCACGCAGCAAGAGCTTTATGGGATTACTGGATTGATCAAGAAGATCATTACTAATGGTGCTTGTGACTTTACAAGAGCTGCTCTCAGGACATCATTTCTTGCATCCTGTGTTTCTGCTTGCCAGAGTCGAACAATGAGTCTCGCAGACACGGTAACTGTCATGGCTCAAAGGTAAGGTTGATCTTCAGTAGATTTGGATAGAGATGCTTCTTTAAATATTTTTGAAGAATCCGTCAACAATCCAAAACAAATCAGCCAATACTGATTTCTTTGATTTTTCCTCGTGCCTACCACCTTTATCTTGATTCATTTCTTCTTTACTTACTGGGCATGACATTTTCTTGAGGTTCAGTTTGAGTTTCTATATAGAAACTATATTCCATGAAATGAGGATTCAAATTACTTATTCCACTAATAATTTTGGAAGAAGACAATGCACAAGTTCTTTATGATGTATGTTCTACATATTGCTGCAGCTACTTTAGAATGCTATTCATCTGCCATCTTGTTTGATTTTGCCTCTAAATCAGGTTGCACGAGCGCCTCCAGGAATGCAATGGGGATGAGGTCTTGAAGGCTGAAGCTGGTGCCAAGGTTCAAAAGTTTACCGATTGGGCCTTGAAATGTATAGGTTTCCATTCCCGTTGCCAAGGGAACAGGGATAGAGTGAATCACTACTCAGCCGTTGAGATCCAACTGCAGTTATCTGCATTCAAGACATTCTTAGATCTTGCTGGCAATCAACTGACAGGAAAGGATTTCACAGAGGCATTTGACGCAGCTTGTTTTCCTCTTACTCTCTTCTCTAGCTCATTTGATACAGGTTGGGCATCAGGCATATCAGCTACAGTGATCCAAGGGTTGTTGGGTATGTTGGTGGAAGGAGGTGCAGACAATGTAAACCAGTGTTTCCTTGAAGCCTCTCGGTTTGGGAGTACAGAACTTGTGCGGATTCTGTTGCAGGTATGCCTTTAATAGCTCATATGTCCCAAGGGTTTGAGACTCTAAAATTGAAAGTCTATATGTGTTCTTTTAAGTAGGGTCTCCTTCTCTTCATCCTCGTCTTTTTTAAGGAAATCTCCTCAGTATGATCTTCAGAAAAGTTTTCCTTTTATAGACTGTCTGGCAAGTTCCTGAGATTTTTCTATTTCTTGAATCTTGGAAAGTAAAAGCCTAAAAGGTCCTAATGAGTAAAATCTCACCGTATGCTATGCTACACATGGTTGCTTGTAGTCTTCAAATCTTTAAGGTTACTTAATGTTACCGACACCATTTATCATTTTTGAAGTGATACCATTTGAATTTGAAGTCATCAAGGCTTATAAAAGAGCATTTTTATAGTAATGGTTTGAAGTTCTTAAGCAAGTCTTTTGCGGTGCTAAATAGAGCTTAAGCTTGCTTGGTAGAATCAAATTCCTATTGTTTATATTGTCGCTGGGTTCTTTCTTGGTAGACCATGCTGCTTTTTAATCTTACTTGGTCTGTTCTGGTTTAGAATATATAATATACCAATATACTTTTTGGCTTAATCTTTAACTGACGTTTCCTTACTTTTGCTGTTTCTATGGGATTTGTCTGCTCAGATTGCCCAGAGGAACAGCTTGGATGTTGATGTTGACCTTGCTTTGGGCTTTGCCTCTCACTACTGCAAGATTGGGACCATGGAGTGTCTAGTAGAAGAGGGTAATGCTATAGCATTCCTGGGCCCTCTGATGAGAGCGGCTGAGAGGGGTTGTATGCAGGTTGTCCAGTGGTTTGTGAAAAGGGGTTGCCGAGACATGGAGCTCTGTCTAGCCCTGACAGCTGCTACTTCCTGCAGTCAAGTTGATGTTGCTGCTTATCTCCTCCCTCATGTCCCTCAGCATGTCCTTGCTGCGCTGAGCATTGAAATTCTCAAGGCTGCTGGTGAACGAAGTGGTGGATCTTTAGATGGTGTGGCATTTCTCCTCCGCTCTGATTTCTTAGGTGATCCTGCAGCCACGTATGCTGTTGCAGATAGCATTGCCAGGTCAGATGACGAGGCTGTTACTCCTGAACTGAAAGCTTTTCTTCATAAGCATTGGTCACAGGCTGCTTTCTTCGATGGATTAAAGCAAGGCCACGAACATTACATGAACCTCATGAGGATTTTGAAGCTGGGCGGATCTCCCATTTGCCTGAGGGATCTCCCAGCACCGTTAAGGATGGCAATTGCATACCTCCCACTTTACAGAGAGTGTCTTCAAACAGGCGGACGTCTGTTATCACAAAGACTTCGCGGGCAGCTTGTTGTAGCCGTGCAAAGGCTTGGTGGTCAGGCCTTAGAAGAGGTAAACCAGGGCAGAGAACTGTTAGCAATTTTGGAGTCTCACCTTCCTCCATTTTTGGTTCAGGCTTCCAGTGTCGAGTAGTAAGTAAATACTCAATCCACTGGAACCTTTGCGTTTTTCACATCACCTCCCTCCCCACCTTCTCTACATCTCATGTGTCATAGCTAATCGCAACATTTCCGCTGTGGTTAAGATGACAAAGCTATTATGGTTTGTCAAATTTTCCTTCCACCATGTGGTTTGCCTTAAATTAGGTCTCTCTGTATTCCTATGTCACATGCCATAAATCCAAGTCATATGTATGTGGTTTTATGATGATGTAAGTCAGAGTCAGAGAGCAACAATATCCACTACATGTTGATAATATGATGGGATTATGTATATTATTTTAATCAAAATACCATATTATATATCCTTATTCCTACTCTTAAGAAATGAATGTAAACGAGTTGGGTTTTCCACATCTTTGCTCACGTAAAGATCAAAAGTCTAAAAATAAATATTTTATGGGAGAAGAATCTTCCACAATGTGAGGCGAACCTTCAATCCATCTACATTACTAGTTGCACTGTAATTTTTCCAAAGTCAAAGAAGCAAAGCCATGTCGTCAATTACCAATTTTTTTCACATGTTAGTTCTTTTCTTCACGCTTTTCATTTTAATAATCAAATAAAGGAATGTTTTTCCCTTTCCTCTCTAATTCTTTTATTAATCAAGTAGAGGAATGTTTTTCTTCTCCTCCTCCCTCTTTCGTTTTCTTTTAACTCAAACATATGGTTAGTGTAGTATAAATCATACTTTTAAAAACTTTTCAAGAAAACATGTTTTAAAATTTATATTCTAATTATTATTTTTAAAAACCCATGGTTAGATTAAAAATTTTATTTATATTAATTATATATGTTAATTTTTATATTAATTTAATATTTATAGTCATTTGATAAAAAAATTATTTATTGACATATTTTAATGTTAAATTTTATATAATCAATAAAATAATTAAACCTACCAAAACAAGCTAAAAATTAATATACATAATTTATACAAATTGAACTTTTAATCTAATAATTAATTTTTAAAATATTAATTATTAAAATATTAATTAAAAAAATAAAATTTTAAACAAGTCTGCTTGCAAACACTGTAGTGATCACCCATTTGCAACTGATGTTGTATATTTTGATGCCTGTCCTGGCATTTTATTGTACTTCAATGCTGATATTATGGGAATCGTGTTTCCCAGGGACTAACTCTTGTATTATGATATTTTGTCTAATATATCTCGTATTTAATAAAAAAAAAAAAAATCAACCATTTGCAATTATTTTTTCAGTACATGGAAAATTAGCACACTTGAGGGCTTGAACCTGCCTAACACAGACAAATGTTAGGCACAAATGAAAAAAAAAAGAGTGGGGGCTTTTGAACTCTTATCTTGATATCATAATGACAGTTTAAAATTAATTCATACAAACTCGGCTAAACTCCTTTTGGTGAGAACTTAAAAAATGGTGAGCAAAGAACCATGGAATGAATGAACTATTTTCTTTCATATTTTTGAAGATGTGGAATTACAAAAACGGTGCAACTCAGAACACAATTTACACATATGTATTTGTAAGATCCCTTACATCCGAAGGCATGAGGGCCAAGAACATGAGCACAGCTAAAATGACTATGGGCAGCAGCAGCAGCAAGAATGGTGGAGGAGGCAATGGTGGCAGTATCAATGGAAGGATAAGCAATGATGCTGTTAGACACGTGAGCAGAAGCAGTGACTCCAAGCTGAAATAGCTTGCCCTTGCAGGTAACAATCTTCTGCCTCCTCCTTGTGATAGAGATCTTGTATATTCCTTGTTTTTCTCGATGGGCGGAGGAGTGGGGTTTTTTCTTGCTCTAGCTTCCATAATGTAGCTCGAGTGACCTGAGTATCGATCTTGCAGATTGATTATAGTACTAGAAAGTTTTCGGTTACTCTCAGATTGTGCACCACTCATTTAAGATGTATCCTTAGCAGTCTAACTCACACAACCCTGTAATAGATCAAACTCTTTTTAGCTCCACAATTGGGATAACTTACCGATCAAGGAAGATGAAGATGCCGAAATGTGAGAGTAATCACTTTGAATTGAGAGAGTAGCAGTGTAGCAGCTGAGCTCGGATTCTGAAATGTTACCAAAATTTCTCTCCAAGCAGTAGGAAGTGCTTTGAAATGAAAATATGTTGAAGAGCAGACCCAGATTCTGAAATGTGACAGCAAACTGAACCAATGGAGGCTCAATTTCCCCAAACCGGTTTTGGGCCAAAGAGGGCTGCTTTTTCCAAAATGGGAATGAGTATCAAGCCAAATTCAGAAATGGGGGTAAACTTGAGGCAACTTCTTATAGCAACAATGCAACTGGAACCATTCAAGAAACAATGTGCAGAACGCAGCTTGAAGAACTAATATTCCTTAACAAAACTGGGGAAAGACAGCCTCAGGTATTAGCAACTGATGGAATCCGCAAATGTACACCAAATGCTCTATATTAAAAGAGGATTTAGCAGACGTCTTCAATTTCTGAACAATGAAACATCATCCCCATTGATCCGACTGCAATTCAACAATTTTAACATTTTCAGAAGAAGAAAGATCCAATCAATCTAAAGGAAATTCCTAATATTGCCACAATTAAACAGAAAAATGAAAAGGAATTATCTTGACAATATTGCTTCAAGAAAAATCTACGCTTTAACAAGATTCATCATTAAAAATTGTAAGGGCAACAAATCAAATCTACAAACAAACTAAAGGGCTACAGAGAAATAAACCAATACCCATAATTGCTATCCAGCTACTTGACAAGAAATTAAGCAAAGGTACAAGACATACTTATATTAATCCAGCATAAGTAGAAACAAGAGTGAGGGGCAAAATAACTGTGATGGTTGTATATTCTTTGGCTCTGAAGATAATATCTGGAATGGTAGGAGGATTTCCCAAACAGGCAATAAGAAGGTCCCCCTTTTCACTTTTTGCATCTCAATCCTTCCATCTAAATTGGGTATGAGTATTCATAGAAGAGAGAAAAGAACAAAGAAACCATAAGCAAACCAACAGCAGTAGATGGGTATACCCACAAGAATAAAAAGGGAACAAAAAGGAAGAAAACTGGGTGATTTTCTAATCCTCTTGTTTACTCTTTCAGAGAATAAAATAAAAAAAAGAAGAAGAAACTTGATGGTGATTACAAGGAAAGAATAATAAAAGAGGGAACAAGAAAGAGGAGATGTCAAGGATGATAAGTACCTGATTTGGTAATGGGGGGAAGAAATCTTATGGGTGGTGGTTGGTTTTGCAGAATTTTGCTTTTAGTATCATGCTTTCCTCTACCACCTTCTTTCTTCCTAATTAATCTTTCTTCTTTAACATGAATAGGAAGAGAGAGGTTGGGTTCAGTGAATTCCAAATATAAAGTGGGGTTCTTTTGCTGACATCCAAGTTGCTGATTTTGGAAAAATGAAGGGTGAGGTGTTTGTGTTCCCCAAGGTTCTTCACCCCTGGACCCTTTCTCTCTAGAATCCCCATTTTTTCTTCCCTACTATATCTTTCTCTCTCTGGAATTTTCCCCCCACTTTTCTCTATCTAGGAGAGACCAACTCTGGCACCTACTAGTATTTTATTATTACAAGTAATTCTCATTATGGACCCTACCTCCCCTCCTTGGCTCCTTCCTTACTTATCCCTGTTCCCCTTTTGAGATGAAAATCAAGTTCCCTCTAGTTTTTTTCATAATACAACAACTGGCATCTTGATTCATGGTTAATACTTTTCTTCCAGCACCCATTAGGTGTGTTGGAGTTATATCTCTAATTTTTATTAATTATATTAAATTTTAATTAATTTAAAATTAAATAAGTTAAATTTTATAAAAAAATTGAATATTGATTATTTTATTTATAAAATTTTAATTTAAAAAATTAATTTCTTAAAAATTATTAATTAAAATCAATTTTTTTTTTAATTCAGTCAACAAATCGTTGATCTAATATGAAGATTTGAAATGGGAATTTGTCACGAGGTGATTCTTTTTCTATTTTTTAATAAATTCGCAAAGATCATATTCCAACCGTCGTCTTGAAGTGAGGTAATACTTATTTTTTAATTATAATATAAAAATAAATTAAAATTAAGAAATTTTAATAAAAAATTAAAAATAATTAAGACTTAATATTTAATTTTTTTACATTAACAAATAATCAAAAAATATATATTCCTCATTTATTTCTTAGATTAATAAAAATTTATTAATATTTAATTATTAGAAGAAGTTTTACAAATTTAAGTTACTTTTACAATTTAATTAAGAAATATACATCACCACCTACCAACCATAACTTTTGACGAGTCTTTTCAAAATATGCGTGTTATGATTTTCTATTAGAATTTCTTTAGAAAAAAACAAACAGCTTAAAAACAAAATTAAAAGTTTGTCATGCACTTTGTTAATAAAAATTTAAGTAATAATTTTTTAAACCAAAATTTAAGATAATTTTTTTAATCATATAAATTTATATGAGACTCATATTATAATTAATAATTATTATAAATTTATTCTAAATTTTAATTTTAAAAATTCATTTAAACTATCATTATTTAAAATTTAATAACTATCCGTGATTAGACTGGGTTTTCATGTAGAAAAGATATTTTGAAAGGAACCATTTACAATCTAAAGAAGGAGAAACCCAAATGAGTGGGAAAATTAATTGGTGATGATAAATTGGATGGCATGATAATATAGAAAGAAATTATTTAGGGTTTTCCTTTTTCTTTTCTTTTCTTTTTTTGAAGAAGAATAAGAAAATTAATGCAATTAAATTGACAAGTGGGGTGGGGAAATGGAAATCCATAATTGAGCCAAGAAAGAAAACTGGAAAACAGTGATGGGATGACAAAACCTGTGTGCTGCAATGGTGGGTTTTGGAGGGTCAGTTTAAAGGGAGATGCTCAAATACTACAAGTCAGAGGTTCAGGTCAGATGCAGGCAGATGTGCACAGAACATGTCGTGTGGACCTCTTTCTTCTATTCCATTCAATGCATCTTTCAATTCATCATCCCCAAACTTTGTTTTTGTAATTCCTCGTACAACAGCCTCCTAAATTTTCTTTGTGTTCAAATTATTTTGTGTAAAGTTTTTATTCAATACAATTTGGTCACTTCTTTCTCCATGCATCTTCCACGCTGCTTGGCAAACCAAACTTGGCCTTCCTCATGCTTATCTAAATGTCTAGTGATGCATGAACCGTTTACTTTTAACTTTGTCTTCAAAATTATTTCAAAATTCATGTACTCTAATTGGACTTCTCTTATTTACTAATGTTGTTTTTTTTAGAGATTAAAAAAGTTTTATACAAATATAATAATTATAATAATTATGATTCAATTGACACTTTTTCAATGAATAAATTAGACTAATTGAAAAGTTAGTTTTTTATTGTCAACTATGACAATAATAATGATAGTAACTAAACACACTTTATCGATGAATAAATTACTTTATTTGAATGAATTAATTATTTATCATCAATATATCATAATATGATTTTATTAAAAAAATAAAAATTTTGTAAACAATTATGATGTATTGCCTTTTATCTTTGCTTGTAAATAATCATGTCATGGTAGAATGCAAATTTGGAAATTAAAACTGAAGAGGGATGGATATTAAGGAGTCCTAAGCTCCCCCTCACCCCATGACTGAGTTTAAAGTACCTGTTTGCATAGGTGGGGGGATGTGGGGTCTCTTGGCAGATAGGTTAGGGAAGCGCAGTCACAATATTCAAACCAATTGAACAAATAAGACATTATATCAATTTCCTAATACGATGAACAAAAGAAAATAAGAAAAAAATAAAAGCAAATTAATAAAACTTGAAGGAGATTTAAAACAGTTTAGATGAATTGATTTTTATAAATTATAAAATTTTAATTTTAAAATTAGATAAGATTAGGGTTCATATATATATATATATAATGCTAAAAACATCAAATTTTTTTAATGTACAAGAAAAAAAAAAAAACCTGTAGTAGTAACGTAGAGTTTGAATTTTACTGTGTGCAAGGAGTTTGAATAAATGCCAATTAGGTTGGTTGGTTCTTTGTAATTTCCTACAATGTCTGATCATATCTGAAGTAGGCAATATGTATTTTTGGGTGCATTAAAAATTCAGCAATTATATAATTATTATATATTTTGCATAATATTATTAAATAAATATATTATAATTATAAATTTATAATATCACGTAAATAGTAATTAAATTATTCTTGTTAAAATTTAATTGTTTAGTGTTTTAGAAATTAGTAACAAATTTTATAGTTAATGTTGTTTATATATAAAATTGTAATGTCAATGGTAACTTTCTTTTTTTTATGTTGGTTGCACAATGAGAGTAATAATCTCTCATTTTTTATCTCATCCTATCTACATGTCATGCGATTCGAACTCAAAATCCCTTACTTTTAATAAAAAAAATTATTACTAAATTACTTAGATCATTGATAATATCAATAGTAACTTCTTTTTTTTTTTTTAACAATGAAAAATTTTTTCGGAGAAAGGGAAAAGGGAGTCTGGGATTAGAACCCAAGTTTTGATAGTCCTAAACAAGTCCTGTACGGAGGGGCCAGTATTCCCGAAGTGCTGGACCAATAGTAACTTATTTTCATAAGAGGTTAGTGTTTGTCCGCCTTATCTCTAAAAAATTATGAGGAAAAATGATAAAAATCACCTTAAGCATGCTTTAAAAATATGATAGTTTAGTCTTTTTCAATAAAAAATTATTGAAACGACGTAGTTTTAGAATGATTTTCTTCATAATCTTTAGAAGATAAGTCTGACAGACATTTTTTCCTTTTCATAAAATAAATATATATATATATAGTAGTAATAACCTTCCTGGAATTTGAGATTCCACTTTCTTACTTTTCACTGTCGAATTGTTTAGGTCCTAATTAGTGGTTGAAAATTCAGAGTCTTATGGTGTGGTGACTTCTTTTTTTGACGATGGGTAGGTGCTGTGTTTTGAAAATTAGGTTTTCCTTTGCTCATTTTCATTTTTCAAAATAGTGCCATTTCTCCCATCTTTTTTGACATTTTATTATTTTCTTCTACTTTTCTTGTTTCTACTTTCTTTTCTCTTTTCTACCTTCCTTTCTTTTGTTATTGGAGTTTCTTTATCAAGACCTAGATGGGTTTTTAAGTCGAGGTAAAGCCTAAGGTATGTTTGAATAAAAATTAATAAAGGAAAGTGAAGAAAAGAGAAGGAAAAGAGAAGAGGG